GTACGGAAGCAGGGTTCACATGTAGACCAACTTGAGTCCGAGTCTGCTCTCACTCAGTGTTCCTGCCCCTCCAGGGGTCCTGGTGCCTCCTCGGTTTCAGCCAAGTGCCCTCTCAGAGAGCCCTGCTAATCCTCCAGCCCCTCACTGCCTAGTCCCTGCACGGCTCCGCTCCGCGGCTCCCCAGGAACACTCCGGTTCCAGCTGGAGCGCAGTGCCCAAGGACTGCGCTAAATTGCCCAGCTGAAAAGGAGTATTTGATACTTTCGAGAAAAACTTTTTTTTTTGGAAATTTTTATTTAAAAGAACCTTGCCCATCTGTCAGAGAAGGATGACTCTAGAAGCATTGTCGTTTGCCCTGCAAGTGGGAGAAATGGAGTTTGGAGCGACGCCTCGCTTCTTTTAGGTATCAGAGAAAAGAGGTCACCTCACAATGTTTATCATAATATTTGAAAAAAGCTGGCATTGAAAAATGAGGGGTTGACTATTGAGTCATTCTTTGTGCAAAGACTAGAAATGGACTACTGAATTATTTTCTGAGATAGACAGTAGCTTTTTTCTCCCTATGGTTTCCTTTTTCCAGTGTCTCCGTAGACAAATTTCATTTTAATGGTCAATTGTAGCTTGATCAAAGGAGCAGTGTGGTCTTTATATTATATGTATTGGGTTCATTTATTGAAGTGTCTTTCTACTTGTAAACACAGGAAGGCTCCTAACCTCCTTGAGTTCTGGAAAGAGCGACTGGAGTGATTGCAAGGACCTTCGTAAGTAAAATAGGTGAACATGAACATTTATAAGCCTCCGTCTGTCTTTAAGGCTATTAAACAAAATAGAAAAATCCAATCCCCTCCCTCTAGAAATCGATAAAGAATAAAGAATATCACCAAACCACTGGACTCCCTCTAAGTTAATGGGAGAGGAGATGACATCAATCTGCACGTTCAGCTGGAGGCATAGACTTTGCATCCACAGTGGTTTCCAGCAACACCTCCCCGTCGGGAGCCCATGGCTTCCTTTCACAGGCGTGCCAGGTCCCAACTGCAGACGTCTATGACTCAGTTACTCGGTGTATTGCAGCTGCCAGTTAATATGTTTTCTAAAGAATTTGTGATGACATGAGAAACGTAAGCTGACACACTGC